ATCCCATGTGGCAGTGGGTTCAAGTCTTGGCTCCTGCGTTTCCATTGATCCACCTCCTTGTTCACGGCCTGGGGAATGGCAGTCAGGTGGCTCAGGTGTTTGGTTCTCCGAACCAAAGAAAAAGTTCATGTCTTTTGGCTACTTAGGGAATGAACTTGCAGAGGGAAAATTCTAAACTCCCCATCTCTCTTGCTGTTTATTATAGTTTTGCTTTTCAAATAAATCTTCTCAAACATTAGTACTAATGTAGGAGTGAGAATCACTAACCTGCTTGCATAATGATCATGGTTTCAAAAGAATACTGGCTATGTTTTAACTGAATACATTCAGATGACTTAATGAAGTACTCTAAATGCCTTTGGGGCCCAGGGCAGTGGCCTAGCGGTCAAAGTCCTGGCCTCTAGTGCCAGGATCCCATATGGGCGCCAGTTCTAATCCTGATAGCTCCATTTGCCATCCAGCTCCCTGCTTGTGGCCTGGGAAAGCAGTCGAGGACGGCCCAAGGTTTGGGACCCTGCTCCTGTATGGGAGACCTGGAGGAGGTTCCTGGCTCCTGGTTTTGGATCGGCAAAGCACCGGCTGTTGCTCTCACTTGGGGAGTGAATCATCGGACGGAAGATCTTCCTCTCTGTCTCCTCTCAATCTGACTTTGCAATAAAACATAAATGGGGAAGTGGAGCTGCAGGGACTAGAACCAACTCCTGGAGCATTCAAGGCGAGGACTTTAGCCACTAGGCCACTGCACCAGGTTCAACATTAAAAAAAAAAAATCCTCACCTTGAAATTGCTGGGATTCCAGATGGGTGCCAATTCTTACACCGGCTTCTCCATTTCCCATCCAGCTCCCTGCTTGTGGCCGGGGAAAGCAGTCAAGGACGGCCCAAAGCCTTGGGCCCTGCGCCTCATGGGAGATGTGAGGGAGGCTCCTGGCTCCTGGCTTCGAATCAGCTCAGCTCCAGCCGTTGTAGCCATTCCAGCTGTTGTGGCCACTTGGGAGTGAAACAACAAATGGAAAATTTTCTGTATCTCCTTGTGTAAATCCTACCTTTCCAAACAAAATAAATCTTTAAAAAATTGAAAAAGTTTCCTTAGAAGTGCATTTTAGAAGGCTAGTTTTATTCACATCTGATCTATATTTGAGAATATAGATAGCTTTTGCATGTATATTTATTTTTCTTGCCAAGTCAATTTACAGAGTGAAGGAGAGACAAAGATCTTCTGTCTGCTTCACTGTCCAAATGATTGCAACAGCTGGAGCTGAGCCAATCCAGAGTCGGGAGCTAGGAACTGTTTCCAGGTTTCCAACGTGGATGTACAGATCCAAGTACTTCAGCCATTATTTGCTGCTTTTCCAGGCTATAAACAGGTGGCTGGCTGGGAAGTGGAGCCCCAGGACAGGAACTGGCATCCACATGGGGTGTGGCACTTGCAGTTAGAGGGTTAGCCAGTTGAACTAATGCACCAGCCCAAATCCATATTCTCTAAGAGTTTTTTTTTCCAGTAAACATTGTAGCTGTGTGTCTGCATTTATATCCCGTGTTTGGTTGAGTTGCTTCTTTTCAGCTGCTGATAACCTAAGTTTGTTATCAACCTATGTAAAAGTCTTTGTGAAGATACACTTTTTGGCCCTGCTTGGTGGCTGAGCAGCTAATATCCTCAACTTTAACAGACTTGAATGCACCAGGATCCCATATGGGCGCCGGTTCTAATCCCTGCAGTTCCACTTCCATCCAGCTCCCTGCTTGTGTTTATAGGAAGAGAAAAGCAAGGTTGTTCACTCCCCTGATGGCTGCAGCGGCCAGAGCTTAGCTGCTCTGCAGGTAGGAGCTTCTTCCTGGTCTCCCACCTGGGTGCAAGTGTCCTAGTACTTGGCCATCCTCCAGGCAACCAGCAAGGGGCGGGCTTAGAAGTGGAGTATCTGGGACACGAACTGGTGTCCCTGTGGGATGCTGGTGCAGGAGACAGTCTTGGCCTACAGGAGAGATTTACGAAAAAGAAAGGTTTATGTACTTGTAGTGTTACAGAGAGAGAAGTAAAGGCAATTTCCATTTGCTGGGCCAGTTGGAAGCCAGAAGCTTCTAACAGGTCTCCCTGACCGGTGCAAGGGCTCAAGCACTTGCCATCCTTGACTGCTCTCTTAGGCCGTTAGCAGGATGGTGGATTAAAAGTGGAGTAGTGGGGACTCCTCCAAACCGGCACCTATATAGGATGCCATTGCTGTAGCTGGGGGTTTGATGTGCTACACCACCATGCTCTGTAAATGCCCACAGCGGTTGGGGTTTGCCCAGGTGGAAGCCAGAAGCCCAGGATTGCATCTGAGTCCTAGTGGGTTTCAGTGATCGAGCTACTTGAGTGTTGTCATCTACTTTTCAGAGAGCAGGTTAGCAGGAAGTTAAACAGGAACAAAGCAGGGCCTCACCCCCGCGTGTAAGCATTCCACGAGTGTCTGCAGCCGGGCAAGGATTCAGACCCGGGCAGGTGGATGTGATGCAGGCATCGCAAGTGGCATATTGGCCGAAACTCCTAATATTACTGCTGAAGGAATGATTAATTTAAAATAGAATTGGTTTTGATGGTGTTTCTGTAGCTGAGAAGGATGTGTGCCCATGTGGTGGGCCGCTGTTCCAAGGTTGAGGAAATCCCTCCAAGATGCATTGGTTAACGTAGTCAACCCTAGAGTCTGCTCCTGAAGGGGTGATTGTTTGAAATATTTTCCTGGGGTTAGATGCAAGGATGGACTCCCTTTTAGGAAGTCCTTTTATGATAGGCAGTGAAACATTATTGCCCACTGCCTGCATTGCTTCCATTTGTTCAAATGTGCTTATGCTTTTGAGATCAATGTTCAGTGTGTTGGTTAAAGTTTTGGCTCTCACTTGATTCTGACCGAAATACCAAACTTGGAGAACTATGCAGTTGAGGATGACATCTTTTCTAAATGCATGGTTGTTAATGTGTTGCTTCTTGTTTTACAGGGTTATTTTGGTTTCTAAAACTCTTTGCTTTTAGAAGTTGGTGCACTTTTTCTGTAATCAGACCATCATTTGGACCTTCTTTGCTTGCCATCTAGTGGTAACAAGCAGTAACTGTTGCTAGTGAATGCATTTGCAATTAAAGCCCTTGTAACGGGGTATGAGCACCCAGAGGTTGTGCTTGTGACTTAAGATGCTTGATGGGTTTGTTGTGCATTCATGAATGATCTTTTCTCCCATGACTTTGTGTTTTGGGAAATAGGATTTGTAAGACAAAACATTTTAGAACCTATAAACTTTTTTTTTTAAGATTTATTTATTTTTATTGGAAAGGCTGATATAAAAAAGAGGAGGAGAGACAGAGAGAAAGATCTTCTGGCTGGAGCTGAGCCGATCCAAAGCCAGGAGGCAGAAGCCTCTTCCAGGTCTCCATGCAGGTGCAGGGTCCCAAGGCTTTGGGCCGTCCTCAACTGCTTTCCCAGGCCACAAGCAGGGAGCTGGATGGGAAGTGGAGCAACTGGGATTAGATCCCGGCGCACGCAAGGTGAGGACTAACCACTACACTGTCGGGCTGGTACCAGAACCTATAAATTTTAAAACTTTAAAACTTAGTTAGTTTTACTGGGCAGTATGTTAGTGTGCATTCTTAATATCTTTATAAGAGAAAAGACTCCAGAACGACAGAAATCTCTCATCACTGGTTTCCCAAATCTCTGCAGCAGTCAGAGCCGGGCCAGGCCAGAAACCAGGAGTCAGGAGCTCAGACTGCTCGGGTGGCTGGCAGGCGCCTAGGTCCGGGAACTGTCCCCTGTTGCCTTCCATCAGGGAGTTGGAGTCCCAGGTGGCAGCTTCCCCACTGCGCCAAGCACCCACATGAAGATGAATTTTTCAGGTACTTAACCAAACTGCAGTTAAAAACCTGTTACTTTCCTTACTGAAGGTAAAATTAAAATGTTAAATAATAGCAAAATAAAAATGTTATGTTTAAAACACACAGACATGACTCCAGACCCTAAGAGGGATCTTTCTGTACTGCTGGAGAGAGGCGTCTTCTGGACACACGGTGTGTCGGCCAGGGCTGGGTGCGGTGTGTGAGTGCTTGCGGTGTGGGTATTCCCAAGTTGGCACTGGTTTTGATTCCTGCTCTCCATTTCCAATCCTATTATTATGATGCACTGTGAGAATGGCCCAGTGGGTAGAAGACGTCTTTCAGTTTTGTGATAAACATATTAGGATAGTGTAGCTAATTTTTATTCCATAAACTTAATATTGCAAATACCTGTAATGTTACCTCTGTTTTACATGTCGATGATTGAAGTTTTATTTAAGGGCCCGGCGCCGTGGCCTAGCGGCTAGTCTTTTCCTCGAAAGCACTGGGATCTCATATGGGCGCCGGTTCTAATCCCGGCAGCTTCACTTCCCATCCAGCTCCCTGCTTGTGGCCTGGGAAAGCAGTCGAGGACGGCCCAAAGCCTTGGGCCCCTGCACCCGTGTGTGAGACCCAGAAGAAGCTCCTGGATCCTGGCTTCGGATCGGCATAGCATCAACCGTTGCGCTCACTTGGGGAGTGAATCATCGGACAGAAGATCTTCCTCTTTGTCTCTCCTCCTCTCTGTATATCTTTACTTTGTAATAAAAATCTTTTTTTTTTTAAAGTTGCATTTTAGTGTTTATTTGAAAAGTGAGAGAAGTGGATGCTCCATCTGCCGACCTCCCTGTTGCCCGCAGCAGCCGCGCGTGGCCCAGTGCAGTCGGGACCTTCATGGGCGCCAGGGGCCCGAGGACTCGGGGTTGTTACTTCTCGCTCACAGTGTACCGTGTTAGCAGGAACTGGATCCAAGGTAGAGCCCACACAGACAGACAGACAGACAGTGCATCAGGCAGGGGCAGCTCCACTCACACGGTGCCCGTACTTGAAGCTGTTTTTGTCGAGTCTGTTTTCCGTTAGCTTGTCCTGGTGAGAAACGTCTCGGCAGTGAAGGATGTGTTAGCGAAACCTGTGGAGTTTAATACCGGACTTTTTCCTTGTAGAAATGGTGGAATCAATGAAGAAAGTAGCAGGGATGGATGTGGAGCTGACAGTGGAAGAAAGAAACCTCCTATCTGTTGCATATAAAAATGTGATTGGAGCTAGAAGAGCCTCGTGGAGAATAATCAGCAGCATTGAACAGAAAGAAGAAAACAAAGGAGGAGAGGAGAAGCTAAAAATGATCCGGGAGTACCGGCAGATGGTGAGAACGTTGTGTTTATTCTTTATTCATTGAAGCAGAGGTGACCTTCCGTGGACGCAGCAGCGGTGTGGTGCGCTCAGTGCTGCGGAGGGAATTTCTGTATGTAACGTGTCATTACCCTTACGGTAACAACTCATTGTTTCTGAGAAGGTCTGTTTATTTAATTGCAACAGAGAGTGGGTGGGAGAGAAACGTTCACTCCTTGCAGTTTACTGCCTACGACACACGGGACTGAAGCATGCCGAAGCCAGAGAGTTCATCCTGGTTTCTCCCAGGTGGCAGGGCCCCAGTTAAGTCGCGGGCCTTCCCTAGTGCATTGTGGGAAGGCTTTCTGTTCCACAAGGTTGTAACTGGTGGTTTAGGCTGCTGCGCTGAGCACTTGCTCTAGGTTTGTTCGTTTGTTTGTTTTGGTAAGATGCATTTTTATTGGAAAGGCAGATTTGCAGAGAAGGAGAGACAGGAAGATCTTCCATCTGCTGCCTCTCTCTCCAAGTGGCTGCAATGGCCAGAGCTGAGCCAATCCAAAGCCAGAAGCCAGGAGCTCTTCCAGGTCTCCCGCATGGGTGCAGGGTCCCAAGGCTTTGGGCCGTTCTCAACTGCTTTCCCAGGCCCCAAGCAGGGAGCGGGATGGGAAGTGGAGCTGCCGGGATTAGAACCGACGCCCATTTGGGATCCCGGTGCGTTCAAGGCGAGGACTGAACTCGGTAAAGATTTTCATAGCCATTAACTAGAACCAGAGGTGATTTTGGTCCTCAGTGTAGTCGGCAATGTCTGGAAACATTTTTCGTTTTCCCATTTGCAGAGAGTTGGTGCTGGGTAGACATGCTAAGCATCCTGCAGTGCTGTGTACAGGCCAGTCCCTGCCGCAGGAATCGCCCTAACATCTTGGTGGTACTGCTCTGCAGAAATAGAGCTTAGTGGCTGGACCACATATAAACACAGAATAAGGCAGGCTGGAAGGAGCACGCGGTGATTGGCAGGTGCTGGCAGGCACCTTGGTTACTGGCTCACTAGCTGTGCTCGGGCTGTTAGGCATTTATGAGCAGGGCACTATTTTTATATATATAATTATGTATTTATACACTTGACCAAGGTATTTAATCTTTAAAATGGTCCTAGAAGGGTAGGAAATTAGGCTAACTGATACACCAAACACCTGAAGTCGTCATCTATTGCTAGCTGGTGGTAAGCTGGCATTGATGTTAACATTATCCTTATATGCTAAAGACTGGGTAAATTGTTGTCCCAGTGGGGTGAAGAAACAAAGTTGACCATGCTGGAGACTGGGTTTTTGAGTGGAGTACGTGAAGGAAGCTGAGAAATCTGGAGATTTGAGAATTTGAAGGTCTGCTGTGTTACTGAGCAGAAGTTAAAAGGAACTTGTCTCCAAGGAAGTTACAGGCCAGTAATGCAACAGGAGTATTGGTAATGGAAGAATAGAGCATCTCAGAGATGGAACAGATGTTGAGTATGTGATGACAGGTGCACCAAGGTGCATTGTTAGTGAAGGTGGGAGCAAGGCTGGGAATCTTCTGTTGACAAAAATTGAGAAATGCAGTCTTGAACCTTATAGTTTTTTTTTTTTTTTTTTTTTTTAATTATTTGCAGTGGAAAGGCAGATCAGATTTACAGAGAGAAGGAGAAATAGAAAGACCTTCCATCTGCTGGTTACTCTGGCCGCAACAGCTGGAGCTCAGCTGATCCAGAGCCAGAAACTTGTTTCTGGGTCTCCCACGTGGGTACAGGGTCCCAAGGCTTCGGGCCGTCCTCGACTGCTTTCCCAGTCCACAAGCTGGGAGCTGGCTGGGAAATAGAGCAGCCAAGTTGAACCTGCCCCGAGCAGGGTTTGGAAGAGGAGTTACCCCCGTAAGGAAGGTTTGAGAGCAAAGAAATCTGCCCAGGTCGTCTACGCTAGCAGAAGCCACGGAGGAGGCAGGTTATTTCGAAACGGGCAGGTTTTAGTTATATGGCAGAATTACAGAGGAGATAAATTCTCTACAGTGAAAGGAGTGTTCTGCTCTTGTAGAGTGTAAGCAGTTTGGCTGTAAATGAATATGTATTTAGGAAGGCGTGCATGTTCAGCATTTCACACGGATAGAATGGCGGTTGCATTACTGTTTTTGGTGACCCACGTGATCATAAATCTACAATATAACTTACCTATTGTAAGTGGAGACAGTGATTGCGAAATGCTAACCTCATTAAGTTAATTCATGCACTTAAAAGCAGAGTGTGCACTTGTTCTCTGATACGGTACAGATCTTCTAAACTTAATTGGTGTTTTTCCCTCCTGCAGGTTGAGACTGAGCTAAAGTTAATTTGCTGTGACATTCTGGATGTACTGGACAAACACCTCATCCCAGCAGCTAACACGGGCGAGTCCAAGGTTTTCTATTATAAAATGTAGGTTCTCTATTAGAAGAGAAAATGTAAGGTTAAAAGTTGCCTTGCTTAGAATGCCGACTGCCTCGGAGTGGATTTCCAGCTTTGTCGTTTCAGGGAGGGAGTTGAGGCAGACGGATCCCACTCCCCAGGTAGCTAAGCAGTCAGGGTTGGGTCAGGCCCAGGGCTTGAGGAAGTGTGCTGTGTGCCCTCCAGGGCGTGCCCGGGCCCAGTTCTTTGGGCTGTTTGAGTCTGCCTTCCCAGGAGCAATAGCAGCGAGGTAGGTCGGGGTTGAGGCAGCCAGCACTTGAACTGGCCCCAAGAATGTGTTCTTTGGAGGAGAATTACGTGAGATTGGGTTTCACATTTAAATGTTTTGAGTACTGATTTGCAAATCTGTTCCTTGAGAGTATGGATTACTTTCCAGTATCAACAGTCAAAGATTTCATGGTACAAGGGATAGAAATGTGATGTAATGATTAACGGACTAGCTTGCCGTTCTTTGGGACCACTGCATTGATTGTGTCCGGTAATGTGAAATGTGCTGTGGCAAGAGCTAGATGAGTCGGTCATTCCCCGAAACCTAAAGTGGATGCAGTAATGTATCTTTGTCCCTTTTTCATAGGAGAGATTTTGCTGTTGAAGTGCTGTTCCTAATGCTGCTATTTCTGCTTTGCTTTGTTTTGTTTTAGGAAAGGGGACTACCACAGGTATCTGGCTGAATTTGCCACAGGAAATGACAGGAAGGAGGCTGCAGAGAACAGCCTAGTGGCTTACAAAGCGGCAAGTGATATTGCAATGACAGAACTTCCACCAACGCATCCTATTCGTTTAGGTCTTGCTCTCAACTTTTCTGTATTCTACTATGAAATCCTTAATTCCCCCGACCGTGCCTGCAGGTAAGTCATGACAGAGAACGAAAGCTCTGAGTGTGAAAGTGAGGGGTGCAAGGAGTCTGCCGGCGACTGTCATTGGGTCTGTTGACTGCTTTTCTAGATCTCTCCACACAACCATCTCAGCCTAGTGATTGATATACAGTAGCCTTTAAGATAACTGATAAGGAATTTTTTGTATGGTGGGTTTCAGAATGAGCTGACAGGTTACAAATGGGTTGGGAATGAAAAGTTGTGAAGTATCTTGCATAATGGCTTTTTAAAAGTTTATGGGCCAGGTGCAATAGCTTAATGGCTAAATCCTCTCCTTTCAAGCACTGGGATTCCATGTGGGCGCTGCTGCATGACCCAGGTGCTGTACCCATCCTGCTTTCTGCTTGTGGCCTGGGAAAGGCCTTGGGATCTCATATCCGTGTGGGAGACCCGGAAGAGGCTCCTAGCATCAGATGGGCTCCGCTCCGGCCGTCGCAGCCCCTTGGGGAGTGAATCAGTGAAGAGCTTCCTGTTTCTCTTCTCTGTGTATCTGACTTTGCAATAAAAATAAATCTTAAATTATTTTATTAGAAAGGCAGATCAGATTTACAGACAGCTCCTCGACTGCTTTCCCAGGCCACAAGCAGGGAGCTGGAAGGGAAGCGGGGCTGCTGGGGTCAGAACTGGCATCCATATGGGATCCTCGTGTGTTTTAACCCTAGCTGCCAAGCTACAGCGCTGGCCCTATTTTTTTTTTTTTAATCTTATTTGAAAGGCAGAGTAATAAACTGCTGACTCCTATTCTCAGTTCTGTCTTTTGACTTCTGTTTTGTAAGACATTTTTTATGTTTTCAGGTTGGCAAAAGCAGCTTTTGATGATGCAATTGCAGAACTGGATACACTGAGTGAAGAAAGCTATAAGGACTCTACACTTATCATGCAGTTGTTACGTGATAATCTGACACTATGGACTTCAGACATGCAGGGCGACGGTGAGTGAACGCTGGAACTCGGACTCTGTTGTCAGGCCTTTTGCACTCGGGTTTTTTTTATCAAGGCATAATCACACTTTCAGAAAAATGAAGAGTACAGTTCAGTGGGTGGACTGACATGGAAAAGGAGTCTTTAAAGATTTCAAAATGTTTTATTTAAGTGTTACCATGTTGCTAAGCTCACTTTGCTTTCATAGCATTGTAGGTGATGATCCAGCACTGGGGGCTGACGCTAGTGGCACTTAAGAGTATCTTCTTCATAAGGTAGTTTGAAAAGGAACTTTTTTGAGAACCAGAATGTTACTTGAGGCCTGGTGCTGTCATCGAGATGTTTCGTGGTGCTGGCTGACAGATCTGTAGTCTGCCTCTCAGGAAGAGGGTCTGTGTTTATGGAGTGTTTCGTGGGAAGGAGGTGGGTGTGACCGCTGTTAGCATTGAGATGCTGGTGGCGGGAAGTGCCGGGAAGCAAAGTAGCTTGTCAGTTCCAACTGCGGTCCTTTAGGAATGTTACCCGTGTGTGCGTGCGTGCGCGTAGGACTGAATGAAGTTTGTTGGTTAAACTAGAATTCTGTATTGTCTTTGAAAGACAAAGCAGTGAGTGCTCTTCAGCCTCCTGGTTACTTCTCACATGCCCGAGATGGCTGGGGCGGAGTGCGCCTCGAGCCAGAGACCAGGACTTGCAGTATTTGAGCCATTACCTGCGGCCTCCCGGCGTGTGTCCCAGCAGGAACCAGAGAAGTGGAACCCAGTGGCAAGGCAGTCTTGATAAGGACGGGACCTGGGTATCAGCAGCGACTTAACGCATGGCACATCTGTGCCAGCGCCAGGAATGGCTGTGCTTTCGAAGATGCCACTCCAGGCGGGATCAGGGAATCATGTCGGACAGTAGCACCCCGCCCTGATCAGGTCAGATGTCTGGGCGACTTTGGAGAACTGAGCTGGGACTCGGCTAAAGCTCACCAGCAGTGTGAAGTGTTCAGGTGACCGACTCAGGATTGGCATGGGCTGCACGGCACTTTTCTCCAGGAAAGCTTTACCTAGAATACCGTGTTTCGGAAGCTGCTGGTACCTCCTGCGGCTCAAACGCAAGGTGTCATTTCTGAACTAATGGCTTAAGGTGCCTTTTAGCTTTTAAAATTCTGTTGCAGTGTAATGACTGAGAAACGGTTGGACAGCTGTAGACGCCTTAGTCCTGTTCGCTTCTCACGGCTGCGCTTTTGGGAGGTGAGGATGAGGAGACAAGAAGTGGAACATTTGGGACTCAGTCAGTGGGGTAGTCTGCTGACATTCTCAAATTGATATAGAACACTGTTAAGCTGAATTGCATTTACTTGGGAATGGTGTTGTAGCAGAGTGGGTCATCTTACCACCTGTGGTGCCAGCTCAGGTTCCAGTTTCTCTGGTTGCTTACTGAAAAAGCTTTGGGGGAAGCAGCAGAGAAACGGCCCAGTGCTGAGGCCCTGCACCCACGTGGCAGACCTGGAGGAAGCTCCTGGCTTCTCACTGGCCCAGCTCCACCCCCTGGGGAGTGAACCAGTAGATGAAAGATCTCTAATTCTTTCAAATAAATAAAGCTTTACAATTTTCAAGTTTACTTAGGAACATGGAATTACTATAGTTGAATTGGGAGCTTTTCCATTTAGTTTTTTTTTTTTTTTAAGACTTATTTTTATTATTTTTTATTGGAAAGGCGGATATACAGAGAAGAGAGACAGAGAGGAAGATCTTCCATCCGATGGTTCACTCCCCAAGTGAGCGCAACGGCCGATGCTATGCCGATCCGAAGCCAGGAGCCTCTTCCGGGTCTCCCACGCCGGTGCAGGGTCCCAAAGCTTTGGGCCATCCTCGACTGCTTTCCCGGGCCACAGGCAGGGAGCTGGAAGGGAAGCGGGGCTGCCGGGATTAGAACCGGCGCCCATATGGGATCCCAGGCGTGCAAGGCGAGGACCTTTAACCATTTGCGCCACCGCGCCGGGCCCTCCATTTAGTTTTTAAAGAAATATTAAAGTGTCTTTAAAACAGGATGATAAAATACGTGACTATTTTGCAAGCAAAGGTGCAGGGGTTTCTGACTTGGGAATAGAGTGTACTTGCATTTGCAGTGATGTCGGAGCCATGTGACTTCACAGGCCTCGGCTCCGTGTGGGACGGAAAGGCAGGCTTGTTGTGACGTCAAGGGACGATTCTGTGGGTACCAAGGCCGTAGATATTTTTAAAGTCAGTGACACACATATATAATGTTGCTTTCATGATTGTTCTCCACTCTCTCCTTTGTAATATAGATTCCTAAAGGAAAACCCAACTGTTCCTTTCCTAAAAACCTTTGTAAGTCATATTGTAGCACAGTGAATTCTGCTTTTAGTTTTGGTTCTTCACTAATCACGCCTGCATATGACCATCAGTTGCTTACAAAGCTGCCTGTTCTACATTCTGGGGTGCTAATCCTGGACAGTACTGGCCTGCTGCTCCTGATTGGGTGTGATTTAGTGTGTCGTTGGTATCAAGTTAGAGCTTTTGGCAAATCTAATGGTTGCTTATGAGTATTTAAGTGTGAGTGTTCTAGCCCTGTATGTTAACTGTACATCTCCTGTTGTTTGCGTACCAGTTCCATCAGTAGACTGCTCCTCTTTGTGGGCATCTTCCTGCTGGTTAGGTTTTGTTGGGTCAGCACCCTGCTGTAGCTGCTGCCTGCAGCGCTGTCCCCGCTGGCTCAGCGCGGCGCAGCTCCTGTGCCCGGGAGGACAGGGGAGATCGCCAGGTCACACACATGGGAGCCCGGAAGCGGCGCCTGGCCCAGCGCTGGGCGGTGTGGCCGTTTGTGGAGTAAGCTAGCAGATGGAGAGTCTCCTGCTTTTCCCTTTCTGTAACTCTACACTTTCAAAGCTCTTCCATCTGCTGGTTCAGTCCACAAATGGCTATGATAGCCAGTACTGGGCCAGGAATTCCATTCTGGACTTGCACGAGAGTGGCCAGGACGTGCAGGAGCCGGAGCAGGGGGACAGCAGAGCTGGGAGGGTGCGCATACCGGCTGCCGACGTGATTTCGTGCAGGGTTAACGTGCTACACCACAACACAAGCCCTCTAGTCCCGATGAATGCCAGACCTTCATCACAAGAGATTTTAAAGTGATTGAAACTGTTCTTTAAGCTTTATTGTGTTAAGGTCCTTAAGCTTGTAGAAATTATCCATTATAAAGCATTCAACATTTCAGTTACCTGATTGAGTGCATTGACAGGAAGCTTGCAGCTAAACGTGGAATTTTAAATGATTACAAAAGAAAATAGCTTATTTGTTCCATCCTTTAAGCCTGCATGTTTCCCTTCTGTGGTATAAATGGGTAGATAATTCTTCCGTATCTAGGCTGACTTTCTTTGCATGTCAGAGTGTAGCTAAAATTCCTCAGGCTAATAATCTGTTCAAAAGGCAAAGAGAAACAGCATGAGAGCTGGCCCAAATGCCCCTTAATAACCCGAGCGATGGCTTACCTCTGCATGTGCACGTCACTGCAGGTGAAGAGCTTGCTGTTTGACCAGGATTTTACCAGCCCAGCCCTGAAGGAACACTGCTCCACTTGGTCCTTGAGTTTAATGAGTATATTCTATGTGTAAAATACATGTGGTGCATGGTGAAGGTATTGAAAACTATTTTGGCCTGGGAAACACAAAGCTTGAAAATCATTTTTAAGAGTAACGTTACTTTGGCTGTGTACAGAGTTCATATAATGTAAGACGAACGACCGTCACCGTGGCTGTCCTCCAGCCGGCGCTCGGGCAGCCCTGCTGGCTCACGAGTCTCCGGTGTCCAGGGTGGCGGGAGTGTTCGCCTGCGTGGGTTCATTTAAGGAGCCTTTGTGACGACTAACCGCCCGTCTGTCTCACAGGTGAAGAGCAGAATAAAGAAGCGCTGCAGGATGTGGAAGATGAAAATCAGTGAGACAAAAGCCAACGAGAGAAACCATCTCCGACCGCCCCTCCCCACCCCTGGAGATCCCCATTGTCACTGAGAACCACAAATCTGACTTTTACATTTGGTCTCAGTTTAGGTTCTTACCCTGGTTTTTTGTTTTGTTTTCTTTTTTTTTTTTTTAAACAGTTTTCAAAAGTTCTTAAAAGGCAAGAGTGAATTTCTGTGGATTTTACTGGTCCCAGCTTTAGGTTCTTTAAGACACTAACAGGACTGCATAGAGGCTTTTTCAGCATGACTGTATTGTCTCCATGCCAGCTGTCACCATAGAAACGGAAGTTCCATTGGAAAGCCATTAGACTTCTAGGTAATGCAGCCGAGAGGTGAAGCACATAGAGGCATATGTAGGATCTTTCCTCTTTGGAAATGTTTAAATCAGCCTTGCTCCAATGTTTAAACTTAATCAGATGTTAGCTCGAGGAGTTTGTTTGTAAAAGTGTTTCAAACTCTGCTAAAGTGTTGCTGACAAGCATGGTGCTGGTAACAGTTCAACAATCCGTGGCTGCTCATTCTTGCCTCCTCTTCCTCTCCCTGAAGCAGGTTAGCATTGAAGGTGGTATGGAAAAGCCTGCATGCGTGTTCAGTTCTTTGTTTCTTCTCCTTTCCTCTCCCCTGCCCTCCCTCCTCCCCTCCTTCGCTCGCTCAGCCTCTTTTGTTCAGTATGTGTAACTTGAAGCTAATTTGTACTACTGGATATCTGACTGGAGCCACAGATACAGAATCTGTATTGTTCTTACTGAAACACAGCATGGAATTAACATTAAACTTAAATAAAAACAAACCTAAATTAAAAATGCCAAATATTATCATGCCTCCATCCTTTATACTTCCAAAATAAAATCTCCAGTCGAAATACCTTGGCAGTATTGTTTGCCTGAATGTGAGGGGGGAAGAAAATCTCTTTTCCTTCAGTAAATCATCTGTCCTTTCCAAAGAACACTAAAGTTGGTTACGTGACATGCTGTTTACCTTTACAACATCCGTATTTCTCACAAGCGTAATTATGGGATTCTCCGTGACCCAGTAAGACAAGGACGAGTAGGTCCTTGTCTTCTAGGCCGTTTACCTCTCCCAGCCCTGGCAGCGCCGAGGAAGTCTCTGCAGGGCGCGTCTCGGCGGGGTGCCCGCCACTTCCCAGCTGCCCCGCCCGGAAATGTGCCGGTGTCTGGAGGAGAGATCTCAGGTCACCTGACATGGGACGTGTAACTCCAGCTGATGTCCACTTCATATTTTGAAGCCAGTTTAGTTGTACACCGCGTTACAGTGAGTATCCCTGTAGCGGTTTTGGCCAGATAGTCGCATGTGTAATATGTAAAGTACTTCTTGAAGAACATGTGCTGTAAAATTTGGGTAAATGGTTTTCTGGTTGATACTTCCCTGAAACAACATGTTGACCCTACGTCAATGTTCCAGGTCAAACAAGCTCTTAGTCGCAGACTTGGGGAGCTAAGAAGCTAACAGGTGAATGACCCTGCTGGTGGTTTTGACTTTAAGCCTGTGCCAACAAGTCGCAGGAGTCCTGGTGTTCTGAGCCACAGCCATCTGCTGGCTCAGACGTTTACCAAGGCAGCCCTCGGCAGGGCACGGCCTACGAGCGCGCAGGACCTGCTTCCCTTATACACTGGATCCCGACCCTGGGTTGCAGACCACACAAAACTAGTCCCCAAAATCTGAATTTTGAAGGAGTATGGCTTTCTTTTCAAGGATTGAGTTGTTGGCCTTGTAAGCTATCAGAAGGTGAACAAAGATTGAGTATTGAAGAAAAAGACTGCACCCAGAGAAGTTACTGCTGCATGTCCCGTTGGGGGGTGGCTGCAGGTGCCCCTGGAGAACGGCCTCACTCGCACGGCGTGCCTTGGGCTGCAAGAGGGGAGAGCTAGCCGAGGCACTGGGAAATCTGTAGGGTCGACCAGCTGCAGCGGAGAGGAGTTACTATTCCAACGTAAGTGCAATTTGTCTTTGTTACAGATGAGAGAAAATATAAAACCTGAGAACTTTCTTTTTACGTTAGCAGAAACAAGTGGGTTGATTGCAGTGCTGTGGTCTGGGATAGGTGAGCAGAAACATCTGCAAAGTTGGTTTTGCTGCTTACACGAAGTTAGGAACAAACTCAAGTAACTGGAAGAGAGAAAAGAGTGGAATAAAAGATCTACCTTTGTTCCTGTGTTTGACAAATGCCAAAGTGCGATTTCTAAACAGGTGTTCAGTCAGCCGGTGTTGATCCTAGAATAGGAGAGGATGCTGAACTACTACGATGAAGACAAACTGCTGAGAAAACTCATTTTTGTCAAGAACCCTGACAATCCAACTTGTCGTAAGTAAATTTTCGAACATCTGTGAAGGAAGGAATACCCAGGTTCAACGCTGACTGAGAATCAAACCTTTGTCATGGGTCCTGTCAGCTAATGGTGCCCTCGCCTGATGACACATACCGACACCCATGAGGACAGTTTCTTTTCCAATGGATACATGTCTTTAACTTGCTGGGTGGATACTTTTTAAAAAAAAGATTGATTTATTTTTATTGCAAAGTCAGATATACAAAGAGGAGGAGAGACAGAGAGGAAGATCTTCTGTCCAGTGATTCACTCCCCAAGTGACCACAAGGGCTGGTGCTGTCCCCCATCCAAACCTAGGAACCTCCTCCAGGTCTCCACACGGGTGCAGGATCTCAAAGCACTGGGCTGTCCTCGACTGCTTTCCCAGGCCACAAGCAGGGAGCTGGATGGGAAGTGGAGCTGCTGGGATTAGAACCGGCGGCCATATGGGATCCCGGGGCGTTCAAGGCGAGGACTTTAACCACTATGCTATCACACCGGGCTTGATACTAAACCTTACTACATACACATACACATATGCAACAAGTTTTCTAGTTGAAATATTTACTTGGCCAAATTAGAGCTTCAATCCCCCAAACCACTGAGTTGTGTTAGGGTCAGAGCCCTTGCTCTTTGGTGACACTGCTGACTGTACAATGGGGGAACTAGGAATTGTGTCCAGGAGATTTCCCCCCCGCCCCCGTCTCAAGCGGTCATTTCATCAATTCCAGTTACTCAGCAACCTCTGGCATTTGGCACACATCTGTCTGGTACTGCTTGCTCCTAGGGCTCTGACCTCATCTCAGCCATCTTACATTGTGATAAAAAAGGAGCTGATTATTCTGTTTAGGATGATGGGATGCCTTAACCATTAAGATTATGTAATTATTAAGAACTAAGAAATATTTTGTGAAATTCAGTATCAGTAATTACAAAGTTCTGATTCATGGAATAGATGTTATGAGATGCTTAAAAAAAAAAAGAACAGGGATAGGGCAAGGCTTATTTCAATTCCTAACTTTTCTTTCCCATTGATAGCATATAACATTGGCCCGGCACGGTGGCCAGGCCTTGCACACGCCAGGATCACATATGGGTGCCAGTTCTAATCCCAGCAGCTCCACTTCCCATCCAGCTCCCTGCTTGTGGCCTGGGAAAGCAGTTGAGGACGGCCCAAAGCCTTGGGACCCTGCACCCATGTGGGAGACCCAGAAAGAAGTTCCTGGCTCCTGGCTTTGGATCGGCACAGCACCAGTTGTGGCCACTTAGGGAGTGAATCAGCAGACAGAAGATCTTCCTCTGTCTCTCTGTGCATCCACCTTTCCAATAAAAAAATTTTAAAGTTTTAAGAAGTTATAACATTGTACAAGGATATTTCAAAAAGTCTGTGGTATAGTGCTGGAATTTAGTCTAACAGGATAAGCTGTGGCCTGCAGCGCTGGCATGCCATGTAGGTGCTGGTTGGAGTCCTGGCTGTGCCAGTTCTGATCCAGTTCCCTGTTACTGTGCCTAGGAAACAGAAGACCGCTCAAGTGCCTGGGCCGCTGTGCCCACGTGGGAGAGCTGGAAGAAGCTGCCCTTCCTGGCTCCTGCCCGCCCCAGTGCTGGTTGCTGAGCCATTAGCGAGGTGAATCAGCTGATGCAGGATCTACTCTCAATGCATGATCCTGCCTTTTCAAACAAAATCTAAAAAACCACACAGACACACACACACACCATAGAAAATGTGTACTATGAAAAAAAAATGGACTTTTAAATATTCAGACTTATTTTTAAATATTGGTTATATAGGTGAAGGAACTGCATACCCATAACATGGCATGGATTTCGAAAAAGCTTTGCCAGGCCCAGCATGGTAGCCTAGTGGCTGAAGTCCATGCCTTGCGCCGGGATCTCATATGGGCTCAGCTTTGTGTCTGGGCAGCCCAGCTTCCCATCCAGCTCCTTGGATGAGAAGTGGGAGACTGGAGGAAGTTCCTGGCTGCTGGCATCGGATTGGCACAGCTCCGGCCGTTATGGTCACTTGGGGAGTGAATCATCAAATGGAAAATCTTCCTTCAAGATTGGAGCTATGCCAATCTGAGCCAGGAGCTTCTTCCGGGTCTCCCACCCGGGTGCAGGGTCCCAAGGCTTTGGACCGTCCTAGACTGCTTTCCCAGGACACAAGCAGGGAGGTGGATGGGAAGTGAAGCCCCCGGGGTTAGAACTGGCGCCCATATGGGATCCTGACACGTTCAAGGTGAGGACTTTAACCATTATGCTATCATGCCGCCCCCCCCCCCCCCCCCCCCCGCAAAAAATGTAAATCTTAAGAATAATAAACACACAGGAGCTTTGCTGGGACTAGTGTTACAGTGCTATGCACTGAGTCACTGCTTGTAAAGGTAGCCTGTAGTGAAATGCCAGCTTCAGTTATGGTTTCAAAGTTTCTCCTTCTCCCCAGATGTATTTAAGTAACTGCCTGGGTTGCCTTGTACACAGGCAACTCTTACAATGCTGGGAGGAAAGCAACCAATAGCTGGTGGGCATTCTGGGCCTGGTTAATGCCCAATTGGTGTTAACTAGACCAATGTGCCAGCATACGCTTGTCCTAGTTTTTGTTAAGATATGTAGGGATGATGGAGAATGCTGGCCAGGATCCCAGATGGGCTCAGGATATGCCACCCCAGGCAGGTGGGGGCTGCAGATTGTTCAGAAAAGAGCCTGGGGATGTACTGCAGTGGGAGCAGATGAAGGCATGACAGACAGGGGAGAAGTGACTTTGGGGTTCTTTCACTGACCTGGCCCACTGTATTCACAGGTATGCAAGGGAGCCGAGATGAAGTGGTTTAAAGGGAGGGAACCTGGAGGGCTGGTCTGGATCAGGTCAAGGCACCTGCCCATAGGGAGACCTGGGCTGCACTAAGTGCATTGCCCACTGCCCACTGTTGCATGCAAAGCTAGGACTGGGGAACATGGTGCACTGGGCTCAGCCACAACACTCAGCCTAATCAGAGATCCTCATGGACATCCATCCATCTCAACTACATAAACAATGCTAAAATTTTACTAGTATAATATGTTTTAAAATGTTCTCCCATTGTTACTTTTTTTTTCTAATTATTTAATTGGAAAGGCAGATCATATCTACAGAGAAAAGGAAAGACAGATATTTATTCTGCTGGTTCACCCCCCAAATGACCACAACAGCTAGAGCTGAGCCAATCCAAAGCTAGGAGCCAGAAGCTTCTTCCAGGTCCCCCACACTGGTAGAGTCCCAATGCTCTGGGCTATCCTCGACTGCTTTCCCAGGCCACAAGCAGCGGGCTGGATGGGAAGTGGAGCTGCTGGGACATGAACTGACGCAGTATGGGATCCCAGTATGTGCAAGGCAAGGACTTAACCCCTGAACCATTTGCTGGGACCTCTGTTTTCAAGTATTTAAAAAATACCATCATAGGTTTATTTTTGTGCAACATGTTGAGAACAAATTAGCTTATCTGA